GCTTCACATGGTTTCCAGCAACTCTCTCCTCAGCTGTAGCAGAGGATGGGCTCATTGGATTACACTCCATGGGATTTAAGAGGGTATATTTCTTGTCATAAAACATGTCAGAATATGGTATCTTTTCAGCCTCTACCACTGTATCAAAGTTGTTGAGGTTGGCCAACCACTTCTACAAGACAGAAGCAAACTTACACAGAAGCCAACACCTTAGGAAGTGAGGCTAAAATTCCAGAAACCTTAGAAAAGTGGAACAAAATATTCCATATTACTGGTTAGGATCTTAGACAAGGTCATTCTCTGACCTATTCTTTCTGAAGGAACTGACACTTAGGGACTCTCCTTGCTCAAGGGATATCTAAGAACAGATGTCAGATTAGCTATTAGCAAGCAGTAATTGCCTTTTGGTTTGGTTGTTGTTGTTGGTGGTGTTTTTTTAATTTTAGTGAAGGAATTCATTGTCTGTTGAATGATAATAAAAGTTAAATTCTTTCTGTAGTAAGCATGTCATGACTGGGAGTAGCTTTAACAAGAATGTGTCGATACATTGCTAAAGCTTGCAAGGAAACGCAGGCATCTAGAGCAAATGCAGGATGAAATTTGTGTTTCTGCATCTTGCTGCTCATGCAGCATGGCATTAGGAAAACATGCCCTAGCTGGGAAGGAGAAACATTGGATGTGCTGGGCACCCATGGTGGTGAAAGTCTTGAGACAAGCACAGTTTTCTGAATATTGGGCTGAACTTCCCAGTTCCCAGTTTGACACCCAGCTGCCCTCCATGCAGGGAGAGGAGGGCAAGCACTTCTGAAAATGCAGCTGCTTTGAGAACTTAAATGGGAGCTCCTCTAACTTGGACAGCTGGACTACCATGTATACGATTATGTTTAAAATTACTGGCTGGGAAAGAATTAAGAGGAAAAGAAAAGAGACATTAGTTCAGATAAATAAAATATAGAGCAAGCTGCTTCCCAGTCAGTTCAGACTCTCTGCAGGGAATTGCCTCACTGCAAAAGATGTCTCCCAGCTTCCTTCCCACTCATCTTCCTTATGAGATAGTTCCCTCCCCCAGTACAAAGATGTCTTTGTAGCTCCTGCCATCTAGAATATCCTCCTTCTGTGTACTGCTTAAATGGCCTTTTTGCTTTATGACTTAACACCTACTTTTATTCATTGTGAAATGATTTTATATGCTTTTTAGTAAATGTGACAGGCAGCGTATTACCCACTGTCATCTTTTATTTACTTCCATAAAGCATTATGGAATAAAGTTAGTATGTGACATTCAGGACACTGTATAATACTGCAATGTATTGCATCGCAACATGCCTTGAAAGAGGCACTGCCTTTTCCTTTGCCTACATCTTTTCTAAAGTGTTTTTTTTTCCTTACTTTCTGCATGGCCAGTGTCTGGTTTCCATGAGTTCCCCCAGTGTTTCTGATGAGGATAATGCTTGTGTCCTTGGAAAGGTCTTGTCATTTTAGTCTCATCTTAGGTGCTACAAGAAGTACAGGAGTTGCTCACATCTCCTCAAGCTGTTTCCCAAGTGCTTAATGATTCATGAGGGGCCAACCTCCAGAGACCAAGTTTGGGTTGACTCTGTTCCCACGTCTATCTAAACCAGTTAACTCTGCAAAATCCTACTGAAAATCTCCTTAGAAAACTCTAGTGCTTTTGGTTCCAGTCCTGGCTACACCACTTCAGGTTGTAATTTAGTGTGTGGGGAGACAGGTAAGGGGGAATCAAGCTGTTTCAGAGCTCCTGAAGAGTCTATCCCAGTTTCAGGTGAAGGCTCTGAGTGCCTTTGCATTTCATCCCATGTGAGTTATAGAAACGGTATTTATGGCCATTCACATCAAACAGACTTTCTTCCTTTGTGAAAAAGGCGTATCTTCATATTGTAATATTTTTATATCTCCTATTTTAATATACTGAGCATTGTCTCCCATGCATCTCTCCAGCCTTTCCTCTATAATGACTTTATAATTACCGCATTTACCATAATAAAAATAACAAGTCACTGTACTTTGAATTTTAAGCTTTTTAACATGTGCAGCTTTATTTCTCCATTTACCTGTTCAACTTGGATACTACAGAGCTGCACCAGCCATTAAATTTGATCACTGATCTTGGTCAGATGTGATTGACTTGCTGCAGAGCACCCTGGTCTGTGGGATTCAGAGTTTAAGTTAAATGAAAAGTTGTGACAGAGCCTATCTTCTTGGGGTACAGGAACGCTGGTAACATACTTTGTCAGCTGGTGTGCTGAGTAAAGTGCACAGATTTTTTTGTTTGGGGATATTTATATGAGCACATTTAAAAGATACTGTCCCTAGCACTCTAATCTCAGCAGCTGACAACTCCAGAGTAAAGCCTGTACTAGGACTGGCTGGGAAAAGGGAACCTTTCCCTCAGAAGCATGGAACACATTGAACCACATAGTGAAATTCATGCTGATAATGGGAAAATGGCAAGAATTTGGTGTCCAAGAAGGATGAGCAAAGTACTCTCAGGTATAGGATGAGTTCTGCCATGTTTTACTGCTGTAACTTTTGTTCTGACTTAGGGAATTTTTTTTAATTCAAAAGTGCAGAATTTGCTTTCATCAAAGCTGTTTTATTTTTATCCCTTTTCTTGGATATTTTGGACATAGTCCTGTGAAATATCTTGTCCTCTTGGGTGTACTGGGCGTTTTCAGACTCCAAAGATCCTCAGCATTTCAGTAGGAACTCAGTAGTTTTGGCTGGACATTTTGTTTCATTCCAGATTAGGGGGGAAAAAAAAAGGCATCTTCCCCCCCCGCCCCCCCGAATAAAATAAAATAGAAAACAGACTTGAGTGTAGATGTTCCTGATGAAAATTGCAACAAAACTGACAGGTGGGTAGTCTTTATTTTCACTGAATTGTCACTTTTCCAATGTAAATTGTTTGGTCAAAACAAAACAAAACAAAACTGGTTAGTTGTGTACTTTGTGAGCTATGGAGTCAGGGCCTTATTTCCTTAGAAAGGGTGGCTCAGGGTGTGAGAACATTGCATCTTGAATGAAAGTATCTTAGAAAGATGTCACAAACAGATCTTTGGAGATAGTTTTTACAGGAAACCCAGACTTCTCTCTTCTAAGTTTCAGGTTGTTTGGAAGCGAGAATTATTACCCTGTCAGAAGGGTACAATGAATTGTTGACAGACAACCACATTTTGCTTGCAGCTACATGCAGGGAGGTATTTACAGCCAGGAACCAGTAAAAAGCAACCTGAAAAGTAGATGTACTTGCAATGAAGTTTGTACTACTTTTCTGGGTTCCTGTTTTCTATGAGCATTTATGAAACAACTATATTTCTTTTATAAAAAGAGCTTAGAAAGCTTCAGTCAAACATTAGATTTTATTTTAAGAGAGAAAACTTTGATTCCTGTGTGTGACAGATGGCCGTGGCTGGTTGCTTACTTTGGGTTTGTATTTCCAATGTTCATAGAGTGGCTTGGTGGGAGAAATTTTCCCACCATTTGCTTTTCCTCAGTAGCCAAATTCAGGAGAAGGCACTGGTTTTATATTTCTGTTGCTTGTAGTGGAACTGGAGGTTGACCGGACATTCAGCAGAGTACTGGGGGTGATGTTCAGTTTAAGATTAGGACACCGGAGTTCAGATGTTTATATGAAAGCAAGTGTCCAAGTTCTGTAGTAAGTAGAAATTTGGTCAGTGCTGTTGGGTGACTGACTCAGGACCTGTCTGGGTGTAGCTCCCACCAGCTATTTGAGAAGGGGCTCAGCTTACCCACATGCGGGTGGCTCCGCGAGACAGCACAGCTTCCACGGGACTTTGGCTGGGGGCTGCTTGATGTGCTGCTGGACCTCACTGTCCTCATGGAGACCAGGCAGGAAACTGTACTATGTCTTAAATGGTGTTAGAGATCTGTGTGAGTAACTGAACTGTGCCTGAGATTCCCACACACTACATGGGGAACACAGATAGCTGTCTCATGGGTGGAAGATCAGATCTGAGTGTCTTAACTGGGAACTGAACTCTGCCGTGATCTGCATGTTGCCTTGGAGCCTTCTGATCCTCAAAATTTTGCCATACTAAAGTTGTCAATGCACAAAAAAATAGCTGTTTGGTGCTGGGAGCCAAATTCCAGTATCAGTAACAGCTGAACAATGCAAGTGCATGGTGCAACTGAGAAGACATTTTGACTTTAAGAGAGCTGGGTCTTGCCACAGTTCCTGTTATCCTTGGAACCAGGGATTTACAGCAGCTGAGGCTTTACCTCTGTATAAGTAAACTTCAGGAACAATTGAGTATTTGCTCAGGTAGAAGTTGTGGAATTTTAATTAAGTAAAGACTTGGCTATTTGTCTTTAAGTTACCCAATAAGACAGAAACTGGGACAGTTTCTAACTTCAGTTACATTGGCGTAAGCGTGGAATAGCTATTTGTGTTAATGATCCATTGACAGCAAATGATTCACACCATGTAAATAAAATCGAAATGTGACCTAACACATGCTTCTGGGAGAAAACAGTTAAGCACAATAAACAAACTTAGACTCACTGACACGCACTTTCCTGCAGCCTTTTGTTGCTGCTTTTGTTCAGAGGGCATTGCTCCCCAGAGACCCAAATTTGGGAAGCAGGGCTGTTTACCTTTTACTTCACTCTGTCTCACTTCATTGTTCTCAAGCTTGCAGCTTTTATTAAGGTTTAAATTCTGTTTTAAAACCAAAATGGTGAGAATGAAATTATATAATCTATATAAATGTAAAAGTAATGATACATTTAGTGTAAAATAAAGAGTCTCTATAGTTGAATACTGGTTTTCTTATTGTTTATAGGTGATTGAGTTAAGAGAAAATACACTGTATTTCCTAATTAATAATAACTGCTTCTAGGCCCAACTTTTTATTGACTTTAAATGCAAATAATTTGTGCTGTGTTATAAACTGTTGTGTTTTTTGCCTTCCTGTAACTGGAACAACACACTAATTTCTACAAGTTGTGACTACTAACAGAGAGCAATCACCTCACAGACTTGTACCGAAAAGAAGAGACAATCAGCGTGGCAGGGAACGGCTGCATCCACAGTCCTCGCTTCCCCAGCAGTTACCCCAGGAACCTCTTGCTGACATGGCGGCTCCACTCCCCGGAGAGCACCAGGATCCAGCTGGCTTTTGATAATCAGTTTGGACTGGAGGAGCCCGAAAATGATATCTGCAGGTGAGTGGCGAGCCATCTTGTGTCAAAGTTTGCTAAGGGCCCCTTAACACGACCTTCAAGCTTAAGGGTTTGGCCATTGGCATGAGACTGCAAACCAGAACCTGCATATCTCTGGCCGGGTCTGGGATGGCCCTGCCTGGAGGACAGACCTCCAAGTGTCCCTTCCAATCCAAAGTGGTCTTTGAGTTTATAAATAAACTGAGCTGTCCTGGACTTGAAGCAGTTCTGGCAGGTTTTAGTCCTTCTATAATATTTTAAGCACAAGGCACTTGTACGCTCAAATCTAGCTACCTAACAACTCAGGTGCTACTTTAATAGGATTTTGAGCTCTATCACCTCTGTCAAGGTTCAGCTGGGCAAAACCCATCTTTTTCAGTAGGTGGAAGGCTCTGGGAGATGTGAGTGAGTAGGTATGTGTTTACATTGCAGTATGAGGGACAGATAAACATGCATTGGAAAACATAATTATGTGCTTCAAATTGTTTGTCTTTACTGTTATTCTTCACTGGTACAGTTTCTTTTAAAACCTTTAAATATATGTCTACAAACATCAGTGTGCTCTGCATGCTAATATATCTAATAAACTGTAATTACTATATCCTGGTTGCTTTGGTTTCCCCTTTTAAGCAAAAGCAACTATAAGCTCAGTTGATCTAGCTGATTAACCCAGGTGGAAAATTGCTTTGCATTAGCAGAGCACCGAGGTGAATCTTGCCAGCATTCACTAAAACAGTGTAAATCTGGGGCGGGGTGGGGGTGTGTGTTCATATTTCTTTTATTCAGCTATCTGGTCTGTGGGAGAGAGCAGGCGCAAGATTCCCTTGCACTCCAAAAGGCAGATTGCTGTGATGCTACTTACATAAAATGCTCAAGTCTCAGCTTCCAGCTCTCTGCCTGATCATGTTGCTACTTACACCTTATCTATGCAGAGAACTGGGTTGTTAGGATTTCTGCACACCCAGCCTCTGCTTATCTTATCTCTTTTGTCAATTAATTTGCATTTATAGGGTTTGGCAGCTCTGAGGGGGTTTTACAGTGTGGATTTTTTTTTTCTTGTTTTGCTTTGTTAATTTTCTACATTACCAATAGAGAAAACCATTTCTGCAGGTTTACTTTCCATTTAGTAATAAAATGAAGCCTGAAACTGGCTCTCCTTGCCTGCGCCTTGATGGTCTTGGCAGCTGCTGCTCTGGTGCTGTTGGTGGGAGATCAGCAGCAGAGTCAGTAATGACAAGTTACCTCCTAGCACTGCAAACGCTTTCCCAGATTGAGAGCCTAATGCATACAGAAGCAGCCTGTTAATATTTACAGAGTGGATAAACTGTGGCTGACCTTAAAGCATTGCAACTTTGAAGCAGAGGGCTAATTTACTGTGGAAAAAAAGATGAAGTATTCTCTGTCAAGAGCCCTTAAAGGTGGTGGCATGATGAGGGGATGTCAGGCCGTTACTGGCATTATGGGTTTGGACAGTCTTGGAAGACAGTCTACCTGCTTCTTCCAGAGCAGCTAATTTAGGATGCAGAGAGAAGCAAAGACTTCCATCATCCATAGTGTCTATAGAAGCTAGAGAAATACCACATTCTTTTCTGCAATAAAGCTTTCCCTGGAGTTCCTGGAAGACCTTTATTTGTGTAGTATTATTTCCAGAGTGAGGAATTTCTCGGACAGACAGCTCGTGATGGCTTTAAGCCTGTTAAGTACTGTCTGCATAGTTAGATTTTTTGCTAATGCTCAATATTTTTTTCAAAACTAGGTCCCTTCTGCAACTTTAGTCCCTGACAATCCCTGCAGTGCTGCTTTAGAGAGACAGCCAGGCATGTTTTAATCGAAACGAATGCTAAGAGCTGAGCATGTGCTTGAATGCTGTGCATATTGGACAAGTAATTCAGGACCTCTGCACCTTACCTTCCTTTTGTACTTGCTTTTGACCTTATGCTTTTTTTCCAGAAACTTCCTAGTGTTTTCTTTCGATTTTTCATTAATGCTAATTACTGTAATTTACATACTATTAAGACTGAACTGATAGAAATTCATTCATGCCAAGGAATGAAAAGGTATACTTTAGCAGAGCTGTTTCAGAAGGAGGGGAAATATTTGAGGTTTTACAGAATTTTCTAGAAGTGCTGTTAGCATTTCCACAGGCACTTGATAAGAGAGGATTCTGAAAAGCAATTAAATTACTCAGCCGCTAAGGCTTCTTGGATGCACAGAAACAACTGAAATTGCACCTACCTCCATGACTGTCGCAGCAAAGCCTCTGCTGTTGAAAGCAGAAATAATCTCTGAAAGCCCATAGATTTGCCCCATTTTTGCTAGCAGTTAGTCTGGCTTCTGGCCTCAAAAAGTGGGGAGGTCAGTCAGGACAATTTTCACCAAAGCCTACAAGGTTATCTTACGCTGAGATCTCTGCAACCCGTCGTGTTACAATAAGCATTCACTGGTTGTCATGCTACCTGGGGGCAGTGGTGGATGCTCGCGTGGGCAGCGCAGAGCTCTGCCCGGGTACCACCTCCATCACCATGAGGGAGTGGGACCAGAGGACAGTGGAGAGAGCCTGAGACACATTTACCTCTGTCTGGAACTAAACTTTGTAGCGTTACAAAAAAAATGTATGTTTCAGCAGAGTCTGGGCAGATTTAAGTGATTTGGTTATGGCAAATCTGTTATTTTCTGTTCTGTGCACTTTGGGGTTGGTGAATATAAAAGCAGCAGTGCTGATATTCTCAAGCCGCATAGTCCTTGCCTTTTTTTCACATGGGCTCTCAGCAGAAAAAGAAAAGCAGATCTGTTATTTACAGAGCTATTCAGCTCCCACAACTGGGCAGGGAGGCGGGCGCCTGGCCCGCAGACCCGGGGGGGAGTCGCACATCGCTTGTAAGAATCGGTTAACAGTCTTAAACTCCCTCTTTGGAGGGAGCACATGCTTTGATAATAAAAACCTTTTCTGGTAAAGACCTCCAAAGTTCTAAGGCGTAACCGTACTGAAGGATGTGAGGATGGCAGCCCTCCCTGTCTCTCGCTGCCTGCACCCAACCTGCCCCCCTTGTCATCACCTCTCCCTCGCTGGCCGCAATGTGTGGGGCCTAACTCTGGCTCCACAGATATCGAGGGACTGTTTTTCTCATAGACATAGTGCGATCAGGACTTTATTCTCTGCCTTCTCTATTCTCCGGCTCAATAAATGACCCAAGCCAGCGAATACGCAGGCCGTGGCAGCGAGTGCTGTCGCTGCGTTCTCTCATCCCTGGGGTTTAGTGTCTGCTGCTCCTGGCAGAGCCCTCTTGGGGCTCAGAGCACCACGACTGTGGCACGGGTGCCTGGCCAAGTTGTGACCTTGCACAGGGCAAGACGTGCTGTTACTTTGCCCCTGGTGACAGCACCCAGGCGAACAGGGAAGGAATCCCCGCCACGGCACACAGGGTGCCAGCCTGCCCTTTTCGGCTTGAAAGATTGAAATGAGTCTTTCCAAAGCATCTAGCAGGAGCACCGTGCCACCTACAAGGAAGGTCCTAAAAAGCACCTTTCAGCAGCATGTGTGTCCCTTTGCTCCTGGCACGTCGGCGGCCCGGCTCCAGCCCTCCGGCAGGCGCAGCGTGCAGGAGCCGGTGGCTGCTGCCGCAGGGAGTTGGGGGACCACCAGAAAGTGCGCAAGTGCTTGCAGCTGCTCGGCCTGAGCAGCCTGCTGTAAATAATATTTTATCAGGTCTCTAAATTATTTATCAACTACATGAAGCACAGTGCGTATGCTTACTGTGTACTAAGCATGTGCAAGTGTCTCTCATTGCTATTTTAACATGGTAGAAAATACTGCCTATCATTTTCCAGGAGCCCAAAAATCAGCCATTTGAGCACTCAGGCAGTAGCTTGCAGCTTAGTGTATTTTGTGCTACACAAGTGTGTCCACCGTTTGTAATATTTAGTCTGATGTTTTGCAGTAGAGAATGGAGGACAGTTGTCTTTGTGTCTCCAGCTGTGCTCCTGTCTATTAGCAGCCATCTTCTGTAACCAGAATCAGCAAAAACTAATCTTTCAAACTGGTTCCCAGGTATGACTTTGTGGAAGTGGAAGATGTATCAGAGACCAGCACGGTTATACGAGGACGGTGGTGTGGACACAAGGAAGTACCTCCGAGAATAACATCAAGAACAAATCAGATAAAGATAACCTTCAAATCCGATGACTACTTTGTGGCTAAACCTGGATTCAAGATTTGTTACTCCCTTGTGGTAAGTCACCTAGCTGTGTCATGGGTGAGAGACAGATTGTAGTATAAAAGAGCATCAGTACTTGAAGACTGGATGATGTAGCTAACTGCATTGGATCAAAACACTGATTGACTGAAAGTATTTCCATTCCAGCAACTACATTAATACAGATCAAAGTGTATTTGACATCCTGTCATTAAATATAGAATAAAGTCAAGTCCAGGCCAAGATTTACACTAGTAACATGTTTCAGAAGTACTAACACTTTCTACACTGGGGCTGCACAGCCAGTGCCTTGACAGATGCTGCAGAAATAGCAAAGAAATGGCTGTGCTACAAACTCCTTTTTTATGTTCATTTGAGGTCAAATAAAAATACCTTGAGGGGTTATGGCTGTGATTCTGAGTTAGTTGCAGAGTAGTTTATTCTACATGCAATAAAATTCTACATGTAAGACAATGTGCTAAGGCTCAGGCTGTATTTTTAACCACGTATAAACATGCCTCTTTGTATATGCAGTGGCATTAGCAGTGTATCGTGTACTGTTTCAATGAGATGAAAACCTCCTCTTTTTTTATTTTGGTTTTGTCTTTAGGGAGCAGGAATGCTTATTGCTCTAAGTAAATTTTGATACAAATACATATTCCTTTGTATTGTCCTGATTAATATTATAATGCTTTTGGTGCAGTGTAGCTCAAAAGAGGCAGATTTTGCAAACACTCAGGAAATGGTAAGCATTAATTTATTATACTGTCATCATTATATTTTCGTATCCATCACACTTCTTATTCCTTTTTTATTCAATCCACTGTTATTTAACAAGAATAAGAAAGCCTAGAATAGCAATAATGTTGATGCTGTAACCGGAGAGATCCACTGTTTGAGTCATTTCATTTCAACCTCTCGGCTTTGCATGCATTTATCCCTATGTATGCTAAAAAGAGTCCATAAACAGCACATTGTCAAGACAAGTCTAAAGCTATAAAGATTGTGCTCCCCTGCATTTAAATTGTTAGACTTCTAGTGGAGTAAGGCATTGCACTGTGAGTAAATCCTGAGCTCTAATTTACTCTAATTTGAAGGTAATCTACTAAAACTAAAATTTAGGCAGAACAGTCTATGAAAGACCACTGGGCATGAAAATGAGACAGTGAAGCAGCCTGTCGTTACACTGCTTGTATTTCAGTGCAGCCACAAAAACTCTGCTGCATTTAGCAAGCTTTATTCCAGAACACGTACAGCTAGTCTGATAGTATTATGCTTTCCAAAAATGAATGTTATCACTCAAAACACAGGACTCTCTGCACTAGAAAGCTCAAAAAAGGCTACTGTATTTATCTAATTTCAAAACTATGAGTAAACAGAGAATTTTACAGTCTAGCAAATTCAGAAGAATACTCTCCAAGTGCACCCTCTGAATGAAATACTATTTTATTTCTGAGAAGAGAACTGTACAGGTGATTAGTGGCATTTGCGAGATGGGGGATGATATGTACTTAGCTGGTCTTCAGATTCCAAACCGTCCAACCTAAAACTGCAGGATTAGTATTTAGCAGAGTCAGCCCTTATTCCATAGTCCCCACAGTCACTTAGAGCACAGTTCATAGATATGCTGAGCACTGCTGACCCCTGAAGGTTGAACTCATTGTGCGTTTCTAGGCAGCAAAGGAGGGAGCATTAATGAAGCATGCAAAAACATATGGTATTTTGTATCAGATGAAATGAAAGACCTTTACATTGCTTTTTTTCTTTCCTTTTTAACCTTCTCCAAGACAAGGCTACTTCCAGGGGCTTTCTTGGAAAATGGTTCACAAGATATGTGCAAATCTTTAACTCCCTTGTTTTTTCTTATATTTGGAGTTTGGATCTGCATGGCAGTTTTTTATTTGTATACCAGACTCTGACTGATAATTTTCCAGAGAAAATTGAAGCAAGCAATTTGGAGAGTTCACTTGAGTTTATTGATCAGCCGCATCTCCTGAGCGTGGTGCCAGAATGGCTGGATGAATTTCTCCCCATTACGCATGCAGCCAAACAACCTCGCAGCCTTGCTCTCTGGCCTTCTCATTTATGAATCTTCAAGGAAGTCAGTTAAGTTCACTTCATTTGATGCAGATCAAATTTTTACTTAGTTCAGCACTCTGCATGAGGCACAAATGAGGCACTGCAGAGCTTAGCAGAAACATACTTCATTATCTTCATGTACTTGTGTTTTTGCATTAACTTCACATTTCAGTACCATTTAGAGAAACAAAAAGGGATAATTTTTCTAGAGAAGACATAAGTTAGACTTGTATCCATGAAAAATCACGTTTGCCCTTGTAAAACAAGGCATGCAAAGCAAGGAACTCATATAAGATGAAGAGGCTCAGTCACTCAGGACAGTGGGATTAGAATTCAAAGTAACTCTGGAAAATTAGACTGAAAAAAATACAAGGTTGTATTTAACAGGACAACCTTGAAAGCCATATGGATGCATGGGAGTAATTAACTGTCCCAATATAGGAGAAGGGACAATGGGCAAGGGAGCAGATCTGTGAAATAGTCTGACCATCTAAACACAGCATTCAGCAACTTTTTCTTGCCAAGTCTGGCTCCCTCCACCTTCTTCCTCCTCCTCTCCTCGCATCCCCTGCCCGGTGGCACCTCTGCCTCTGCCCTCCCCTCTGTGGATCTGAGGGACTAGGAAGGCTGGAGGGGGAGCAGTGAGGGTGGTTTTGGAAGGAAGGGGGAGATCCAACAAGCTGCTGCCTGTTGCCTGTCCCTGATCTTCTCTTTCCCCATGAAGCCTTAGGACTCCCTGGGGTGGGAGCTCCAGGGTGGACCTAACTCCAGGAGTTGAGCTGAGTGTGCCCCACTGCTTATCCCAACATGAATAAGAGTCAAAAGTGTCCTAAGGTGGCTGGAAAAAGTCACTCCTCCCCTGTGCTGTCTGTGATGGTGCAAAAGTAGGTAAATAGGTGCAGCTGGTGGCTGGTGTCTACAGACACTTCACATTCAAAGTCCCCAGTTGTAGCTGTGCAGTTTGTTGGCTTAGCCTGGGTGTCCACACAGAGAAATGTCTCCCTCGAACCTCTGTAAAAATTGTCTTCCCCTTCAAGCTTCACAGACCTAGAGCAAAAATGGTCTGGAGCAAGCCCTGCACAGCTATTAGGCATGAGCCTGACTTAGCTGCGAATTTGTTTGAAATTCTTCCCTGCTCTTATCACTTAAAGTGCTTATTTCTAAACGTTTTTTTTTTTTTGCTTTTCCTGATTGAGTTGCCTTAGAAACATCAATTTGCAGTATAGAAGGCACTGAGGTATTCCAGGCGTTTTTTTCTCACACGTTATATAATTTCTTACTCTAAGGACATAGTGTTTCACAGCAAACACAGCAGAAATATGTGATACAGAGGAAGATAAGTAATCTTAGGTTACTTGCACAGTTGCTAGAGGGAAGGTAGGCATTGTCATGAGAAAGGCCCCTGGGTTGCACACCTTAAAGTAGCTGATGTGAATATTCTGCATTGCCACAAATGTAAAATTTCATTCCACCGCTGCTTGCAGTGCAGTCACCTCAACTGAGGGATCTTGCATGTAGCAGGTAAGTATTCAATAATTACTAAAAATACTGCATCAATTATTTTGAGATGTAGGAATATAAATTAAGTTACACTGTTACACGTGGACATAATCTTTTCTTGATTGAAGTAATTTTATACTATTCCCTTTTTCCTTCTGAAGTGAAATTCTTCCAATGTCCTAATTCTGGAAGGGAATGTTAACAAGACTGGATTCCATGTTTTATAAGTACATTAGCATGGACATTTACTAAAATAATCTAGGAACTCGTTCAGGAACATGTTCCAACAATAAAGGTGAATGTTTTGAATTAAAATTCCTGCATCTAATTTCATTTTAATGAGACAACTAGAAAATGTTGGATTCCATTTGCTAATTAAAAACATTATTTTGAGTTTATTGTAAAAGGCATATATTTGTTATACGTTTATAACAGTAAATTGTTATTGCCTTACTAATTGTTTTGTTAATCCTAAATGAAATCTGTATGTTGGAACTTTGACGAAAATCATTATTCGAAACAAGGGCTACAGAAAAGCTAGGAACATATGTGTATGTATATGTACAAACACGCATATATACAAAGATGTAAGGTTAAAAAAATATGTATTTATATATACATCTTTTTAGATATATGCACATATGTATGTGCTTTTACCTTTCTTTTCTTTATAATATAATTCATGACTAGGAAGCATCACATGGCATTAAGAGCAATCTTTACTTATTTGGGAATTGTAAACCAACAGTGGTGGACAGGTGGTGCTAAAGAGAACATAAGTGTGTTTGTCCCAGGATAAACTTATCTGTCAAAATGTGTATCAGTGTGTTAGATCATTGCATAATTTTTGCTTGTTTGAAATGACATTTTTTGAATGAAGGAGCCATAAAGAAATTAATGGAATGGAGGGGGGACACGGACTTTGGGGGTTGATCCATCATGTGGAATTTACAGAGAAGTAGCTTTCTGCTAAACACCCAGGCCATAGGTCACCACTCATATGATCAAAAAAAAGAGCATTGGTCACAAAGTGGGGTAAGACACCACAGTCTAATAAAATTTAGTTACTTTCCCATGCAAAAAATATTGACCAGTCAAAGTTAGTTCAAATACTAAACTTAAACTCTTTGATACTTGCCTGTTAAGCTCACAAGAAAACAACACAAATTCAAAGCACAATCAGAAAATGAAAATGGGCAGAATAAGAACCCGATCTTGATACTTATACTCACAGTCACTCTGAATTAAGTGACTGGCTGCCTGTATTTTACCAGATTTGTTTGCACAAGTAGTGCAGCATCAGACAGCAGTTTTTTTAAATAAGTCAATAAATAAACTCCCTTGTAAGAGTTAAGGTGATCACAAAAAGATTCAGCCACTAGTGTGAATACAGATTCCTAAAGACCATAAAGGATGATTAATTCTTTATCACCAGCCACAGAGCTGAATCCAGCCCG